TCCAGCTACTTGGAAGGCTGAGGTGGAAGGATCACCAGAGCCCAGCAGGTCAAGGCTGCGGTGGCCGGGAGCGGCTACTGCACTCCAGTCTGGGTGACAGAGTGAGACTCCAACTCAAAAAGAAAAGAAAAGAAAACATTCAAAGCAATCGTTGGCAAATGCTCACCCCAGCCATCAAAGTATTTTAGTAAAACAGCCACAGGACACCTGCCTAAGAACACATTTCCTGATGTGCCCACCCTCCAGGTGACACTGGCTGCACACATACACCTTGGCAGCTGCCTGAGCTGACTTGCTAGTTGGGACTGCTCAGAGAGAAAAGGAAAGCACGAGTGCACAGATGCTTGTGTGCATGTGGGGGGGGGGTGGCTATGAGACGAGTATGAGCAACTCACAGAAAGCCAATGTGACTGGGATGGCCAGAACAAAGAGGGGTGGCCTGAGATGAAGCTGAGGGGAAGGTGAGTCAGGCCAGACACGCGGGTTCTTGCCAAGGACTTTCTTCCTTCAGCCTAGGGACAATGGGACGCTACTCAAGAATTATAAGAAGGGGACTGACATGCCTCCCACTTACAGAATCGATCAAGTCCCCCCTGCTCTGAGTTGGGGTGCCTAAAGTGAGCCCAGTAAGCCAACAGCCTCATGATCTGGAAGAGGAAAGGGGTCTTTGAGAAAATGGACTCAAGTGTAATCTGGCACCAACCAGAGGGAGCTATTCTCAGAGATCTGATCAAAGCAAGTAGCTCCCAGGAATCCAAACCCCAAATTTGGAAGAGGCCTTGTCGATTCTGCAGGCAGGGTTCTTTTTTGAGGTACTTTAGGGTGGGTTTTTGGTAAACCATATCACAAGAGGTAAAGTCATTGGGAATAAAACGTATCTGTTAAGAGCATTTCTTAAATGGCTTCATGATTGAAGTTATCATACACATTTCTACTTAGATCATTGGAGGAAGGATACAAAATCAAAAATAAGCACTGCTCAGGATGAAAAGTCTAATACAGTCAAAAAACTTGATAGCATTTTAAATCACAAAACTGATAGACCAGTGCTTTCCCTTTGGGAAGTCTTTGACCATGTACTATTCTGAAGAGTGGTCTTAAAACAACAAACTGGAAAAATGTATTGATTCCTGCTTTTCACTTGATTCTCTGAGATGTAACAAACAATGTCAACACTTAGGTTATTAGAAATACACTCAGTATTCCCTATTCAACAATTACAGATGAAAAAATCCAGAAAAAAAAGAATGACTGCATCTGTACTGAACACGTACAGAATTTTTTTTCCTTGTCATTATTCCCTCACAATACAGTATAACAACTGTTTACAAAGCATTTACACTGTACTAGGTAGTAAGGTAACCTAGAATGCTTTAAAATATATGGGATGAAGTACATAGCTTATATGTAAATATGACATCATTTTGCATAAGAGACTTGAGTATCCATAGATTTTGGTATTCAAGGGGGGCCCTGGAACCCATCCCCCACGGATACCAAGGGGCAACTGAACTTCAACAGAAAAGGAAAGGAGTACTTCCAACAGGTTACACAATGCTTTGGATTTGTTGATATGTGATTTGAAGGGGTCACTGTCCTGAAAACATCTGAGTTATAACAGTACAAGTGATTCTACTGTCCAAAGACCATGAAGGATGAGTTCTGAGCCGACCACCCCTTTGAGTTTTCACTTGTGTTTGTGTGATACCTTGCACACGATCTCTATACCACAAGAATTGTCTCCATGGCCCTGGGCTCCGATCTTCTCAACTCGGCTGATCACGCCCAGGGGAACGTCAAGAACAAAATGTGGGTCCTAGGTTTAAAAATCAAGATGAACATCTATCAGTGCCAGTCAATAGAGGGATCCTAGGTTTTTGCTGGGTTATAAAACATGTTTGTTTACTTCACATTTCTTCTTGATCCCCGCTAAGAAACGGAAGTCTAAAGCCGGGCTCGGTGGCTCAGCCTGTAATCCCACGCCTTTGGGAGGCTGAGGTGAGTGGATTGCCTGAGCCCATGGGTTCGAGACCTGCCTGAGCCCACGGGTTCGAGACCCGCCTGGGACCTCATCTCTACAATAAATCAAAAAAAAATCAGCCGGGCATGGTAGCGCATGCCTGTAATTCCGGCTACTCGGAAGGCTGAGGCGGAAGCATCGCCCGGAACCCAGCAGGTCGAGGTTGCGGTGGCCGGGAGCGGCCACTGCACTCCAGTCTGGGCGACCCGAGTGAGACTCCAACTCAGAAAAAAAAAAAAAAAGAAAAAAGAAATGGAAGTCTAATTTATAGCATACCTCATAAAGTATATATTGAGACTACAGTGACATTTCTCTTCCCGGTTTAAGTGGTACTTTAACAGCCTTTTTTTCAAGATATAAAATCTATCTACAAATGAGCACATGTTAAAATCCAACCTCTGGTTATCTCAGGGTGACAAGATTTCAGGAGAATTTTTATTTTCTTCTTTTAGTGTTCCAAATATTTTTTAAAATATACTTTTCAAAACTCACCCTCTCTACATTTTTGAAGTACATCTTAAAGTCTGTCACTGTCAGGGTTCCACTCACTGCTCCCATAAATGGACAGATATACATGACATCTTTCACTGAAAGAAAAACACACACACACACACAAAAGTAAAGCAGTAACTACCGCTGTAGACTTGTGCTTCAATAAACCTTAACATGAGTTTCCAAATATATATGTTATTCCGGTTTTCTTGGAACTTTAAATTTTGTATAACTGTATCGATGATTACTTTAAACAAAGACATATATGGATAGTCTTCTAATAAATTTCAGTTTTCTAAAACAAAATTCTGATTTGCTACTTAATGAGGTTTTAAGTAAAAGGCCTCATAAGTTACATGTTGTCATATTTTCCAGGTCGTTAACTTTTCCCTAGGTGATACATTCATCATATTCAAAACATTACTTAAACTCTGAAGACCCTGGGCTACCATTTCATGAATTACTGCTACATAAAACAAACGAAAGCTAGACACTGTTCCCTAAAGCACTTCCAAAGGAAACTGCCGTACAGATGACAAAAACTAGAATCACATCAATGGAGTGGAAAAAGACTTGTTTCAAATTTCTTATCAGCTTATAAATTTTGATTTTCTTTCAGTTAATAGCAATTAAGTGCACACCATATTTAATTCCTAGGCATGGCAAGAAGCTCACATCTATCACTGAGATACCACAACTTTTAGATCTTCTAGTGACAGGAACATACACAGCTACTGCAGATGAGCCTCAGAGAAAATGAAAGGTACTAGACTTGTCATTCTACCAAATTCTCAAGGCATTTCTGTAAAATTTTTTTTGTGGGGGGGACCCCCGGGCTCGGGCAATCCCTTTGTCTCAGTCTTCCAAGAAGCTGGGACTACAGGCATGCCCCACCACGCCTGGTTAATTTCTTGATTTTTTGTAGAGACAAGTTCTCACTATGTTACCCAGGCTGGTCTTGAATTCCTGGTTCCAAGCAATCTTCCTGCCTTGGTCTCTCAAAGTGCTGGGATTACAGGCATGAGCCACCATGCCCGGCCAAACTTTTCTATAACTCCTTATGAACTGTGAGCCTTCTATCACTGGGGTTCTGAGTACAACTGAACATAATTCTTGCCCACAAACAGCCCACAACCTGTGAGAGATACGGTAAAGGAAAATCTCCATTATACGTGAGCCTAATACATGCTATAACAACAATACAGACACAAAGTAATACAGGCCCAGAAAAAGGATAAACTTAGCAAGAAAGTGGGTAGGAGAAGTAAGAGAGGGAAGGGAGGAAGGAGAGAGCAATGAGTTGGTAGAGGTTAGTATGGCTGGATCAAAGGGTGCAGTGAGGCTAATGAAACATGAGGCTGGCAGGGAGTGGATCAGGAAGTGCTTTTGTAGGCGACTAAGACATTATGAGTATTACCCTTAAATGATAACCATTTAAACAAAAACAATGTATTGTGGGGTTTACAACATACATAAAAGTAAAATGGATGGCAACAATAGCATAAAGGTTGGGAGGGAACCAATGGGGGCAAACTATTGTAAGGTTCTCATCCTCTACATGAAGTGGCAGCAAATCACTTGAAGGCAGACCAAAAGATGTAAAGCAACCAGTAAAATAAAGAATTATAGTCAATATGCAAACATAGGGGACAAAATGGAATCCTAAAAAGTACTTAATTCAATCATAAAAACACAAGGTCATGAGGAAAATCTAAATGCCCACACTAGCAAAAAGGTCTCAAATCAATGACCACAGCTTTTACCTCAAAAACTAAAAGAAGAGTGAATTAAACCCAAAGTAAGCATAAGATAGGAAATAACAAAGATCAGAGTAGAAATCAAGGAAATAGAAAAATACCAAAAGTTGATTCTTTAGGACCAATAACTGACAAACTTCCAGCTAGATTGACCAGGAAAAAAAAAAAAAAGACAGGCACGTTACAATATCAGAAATGAGAAAAGTGATATCACTACAAGTTCTACATATATTAATGGAATAATAAAGAAAAGTGATAAATGACTTTATGTTGATAATTTGACAACTAAGATTAAATGGACAAATTCCTAGAATGGCATAAACTACCAAAGTTTATTCAACAACAACAACAACAAAAAAGACAGCCTAAATAATCCCATAGCTACTAAAGCAATTTAATCTGTAGTTAAAACCTTCCCACAAAGAAAATTCAAGGTCCATGTGGCTTCACTGGCAAAGTCTATCAAATATTTGAGAAAGAAATAAACCCTCTCAGAAAACTAAGGAAGAGAGAATAATTCTCATTTCATTCTATGAAGCCAGCATAACTGATACAAAAATCTGACGAGCCATTATAAGAAGAAAAAAAAATAACCTGCAGATCAATATCTCTCATACATAAGTATTGACATGAAACATCTAAAAAAATTCTAATAAATCAAATCCAGTAATATACAAAACAGATAATACACAATAAGCAAGTCAAGTTTGTCCTGGAAATGAAAGGTTTATTTAATATTCAAAAATTAATTGATGTACTCTATCCTATTACAGGCTAAGGAAGAAAAATCACATGATTACATCAAGGGCATCTGACAAAATCTAACGTCTGTTCCTGATTAAAAACTCTCAGCAAACTAGGTACAGAAGCAAATTTCCCCAAAATGATAAAGGGCATTCTCAAAAAACCTACAGCTAACGCCATACTTAATGGTGAAAGACTGAAAGCTTTCAAAAAGACAAGAATGCCCACTCTCACATCTTTTTTTGAGTCGGAGTCTCACTCTGTCGCCCAGACTGGAGTGCAGTGGCCGCTCCCGGCC